AGGTCAATGAAAGCTGCATCCTGGCTTAGTGATAAATTTCTAATCCCCAGTCCTCCTTCCACAAAGGGAAAACACATCTTGTCCCATCTCCTCCAGTGGTATTTGGGTCCCTCTTCCTTTTCCCCCAGAAGAAATTTGCCATTTGCCTTTTGAGAATTTTTGTTATGGACTTGGGTATTCTTTGGGCAGCCATAAGGTGTAAAGGGATTGAGGATAGCACGTGCTTGATAAGAATAAGCCTCCCCATTTGGTTTAGCTTCTTACTATACCAGGCATTTATCCTCTTCTCAAACTTTTCAACCAAGTCCTTGCAGTGGATCTTCTTAATCTTTCCTTTTACAATGGTAGATCCAAGGTAGTTAAACGCTTTGGTACTACATTTGATAGAAAGGATTTTTTTGATCTTGTATTGGTGTTCTGGCTTCATTTTTTCATGGACAATAACTTGACTCTTGTTATAGTTATTATGCAGTATATAGATATAAGTGCCCAAAATGGAAGTCTCGAAGCCTTTAACCCGTTTTAATTACTACGTATAAAGTAATGGGTGATGCTAAATCCACCCCAAAAATGGCTATATTCACCCCTTTCACATAAATTTGCTAAATCCACACCAATGTAAACTTTATATTAATGGGTGTGGATATAGAAAATATTGGTAAAAGGTGTGGATATAGCCATTTTGGGGGGTGGATTTAGCAACACCCTAAAGTAATGCATAAACAAACCCAACAGTTATAAATCATAAATTGTCTAACGCAAAAAATAAATAAACACATATTAAATAAAGAGACGGATCTGTCGAAACCGTAAAAAGAAATATCTAGTCTCTAGTCTTTCTCTATTTTGATATCCTTCATGTTCTTGCTCGACTCATCCCCACTTCCATAATAATGTTCCATGTCTTTCATTCTTTTATTTAGAGTAGAATCAGTGATAACATCCACATCCCCTTCCAAGCAATCATCCTTAGATTCCCCAAAGGCTTCAATCAAACTCTGCATGATAAAGAGTAAAAAAGTTTTTTAACTTTCATCAAGAATAAATGTTGCTTCCTTAAAAATATTAGTTACAGGCAGTTTTGTTCCATAAAATGAGATTAGTTTATGAACTTTTATCTCTAAAAAAGTTTCAGTCCTTGTTCATCATTCAAAAAAAACTGGCAGGTTTAGTACCACAAAAGTACCTACACGTTTATTGTTCTAACACAAGAAAGTTGGTTATAAAAAATGTGTGTGCAATCGTGAAGGTTCACAGAAGTACCACAAAACTATGGTGTCAATGCCTATCAAATATTGAGCATGGACAGAATGTTACATCATAAAACACATTAAGCCCAATCCGTAAGGTCCCCAGTCAGTCATTCTAATTGATAGACCAAATCATAATGCAGTTTTTCCAACATAAAATCCCCAGCTGCACAGTCTACGTTCTGCCTAGCAAAAGAGACCAAAAAAGTGGGTTTTCATTCATAAGTGTAGTGTGTTTTCAGTAACCGCATTCTCCATTTCAAATTGGTTTGTGTTTTCCTTAAGTCTTTCATAACCAAGTTGGAATTGCTTTTTAAGAGAAGAAACTATCAAGAATAAAAAAATAAATCAAATGGAAAGAAGCTATTAAAATAGAAGCAAACTAAGAAACCTAAAAGTAAAAAACAACAAAACGAAAGGATCCATACAAACACAAAAGATTATTTTGAAGATGAATTTAGAACAATGCCCATCAATTGTTCTAAAGTTTCCATTGAAAAAGAGTTGTTTTAGAATTGTGTCATTTGCCCCAAACAAACCTCGATCGAGATATAACTTCTTTAGGAAATAGTGGTCCACAAAGACATCGATTCATTCATTAATAAACATAAAGCATTTTAGCGATATCAAAATATGGTTTACGAAGCATATATGCACCAGATTCTAGCATTCATCATTTAACTTGAAAGTAAAAGTTGAAAGAAATAATCAAGAAATAGATATATTGATATCGGCATCACCAACGATGCCAACATCATTTTGAATTACCCGAAGCATTGGATCTGAATTACAGCTTATGGTTGCATTATTGGGAGCTTAGCACGGAGAGACAGGGTGCACAATCCATCCGCAAGTACAACATAAAACGGGCAAATGTTCATAGGACAATTGATGTATAAAGGAGTCATGTTAATAGTAAATTCGCAAAAAGTGTGTGTGATAAATTCTGAGTGTAAAATAATAAAAATAGCTAACAACACTTGAAATAGATCAAGATACACTCACATATTAGGGAACACACCTTTCTGAGTACAAACCACTGGCATAGTCAATACTATGAAACATAATTGGGATGACATCCATATTATGCCAACTGATGAAAGCTAAATGAAACTTTATATTGAACCTGTAAAAACGAAAGAGGAAGGTTTAAATGGTCAAAGTTTGTATGACAGAAAAGCTTTGCATTAAACCTGTAAAGTTTACATTCAACCTATAAAAATGCTAATCTGCTAGTGTCAAATCCAAAGCTAGTGATAAATACATACTCAATTACTCACTATGATGCATGAGAGTTAAAAAAAGGAAATAAGATTTTTTTGGATGGGAAGTGACATTCATAGCATTGATTTAGGTAGTCAGTTTCCGGATTTATTTAATTTTACTTTTTAAATTATTCAAAAAAAAGGGGAGAAGAGGGGAAGACCCAACCAAAGGCCATTGAAATGAAAAAAAGATGGAAAGATCCAGTCGAATCCCCTTGAAAAAAATAAAATTTAAAGAACTAAGAAAACATACTTCAAAAGAGAACTGCAGGTAACTGCTTGAAACCATTAGTCACATGAATTCCACTTAAAATCTTGCATTAATCAAAATGAGAACGAACTAACTTCATATAAAAAGGAAAAAAGAATGGTGGCTTCTAGGGTGACACTACACCTTTTTCCATACTTTGTAATGTCCCAGCTTCTGTTTCAGCATAAGAATCAAATCGTCCAGCTTCTATTTCTACAGGAACACAATAAATCAAGAAAAACACTTTTGAGATAACTATTTCAGTCAATGAAACAGACATAGAGCAGTTTGAGCAAAACACAACATTGACAAAGTTCATATCATCCTAGTAAGGTTCATACCAATTAATACTCCATAGACCTCAGTTTTGGAACTTTTTGGACAATCATCCCAATGTAATCACTCTTAGAAAAAAGTAATTGTCGATTTCCCTAATGTAATTACACGAAATACAATTCTAATCAAGCCAGGATTCATAATTGAGGATTTTAGCGGAAAAAATTTGGGGAAATCGAGAGCCCAGAAAAAAAGGAATTTGAATTTTTTTTAGGAGGTGAGACGATTCCTAAATTTTCAGAGCATGGAAAACGATGGGTGGTCTGAAATCCAAGATTTGGAAGAAAAAATTAAGAAATATTCAAATTTAGTAAAAATTAAATTTGAATTTTGGAAACAAACTCAATTTGGAAATTTGGAAACAAACCGAATTAGAAATTAAATTGGAAACAAACCTAATTTGGACCTCCCGAGGTCGATTGGTGGCACAGTTCTCAGCATGTGCCACTGCCTCTGTTGATATGGGCTTCATTTCAACATCCATAGAAAAAAATTAATTAAGATTAACTTCTTTCCCGGCTGAATTGAAGGAATGGTTTGAATTTGCCAAAACAACCATGATATTGGTTTGAAAAAAGAATTAGTTAGAAACACTTGCCACGCACGGGTCGCACAAACCTAATTTGGAAAAAAACCTAATTCGAAATTTGGAAACAAACCTAGATATCTTCTGATCGCGGTTCTCTGATGCTGATTATATGGAATTTTCCTTCGTTGAAGAATCTGCGTATAGCGATGTGTAGATGCGAAAAATCAGTCGATTATTGGCGAAGGATATGCGCGGCGATGGAGATGGCGACGCGAAGAAGACCGAACGGAAATTGATTTCATTGGGAAAGGCTTGGGCGATTTCCAGTAAGTAAGAAGCCAAAAGCGGACGCGTGGAGCATTACGTGTCTCAAAAATAGATTTCTTAAAGCGCCACATGTCAAAATTCTAAGCCATTAACTCTCAAATATTATATTAAATGATGTACTGTGCATCAAGCTTTCTATACACAAGTCCATTTTTGACAAATAATATGCAACGGAAAATCTCTAGTCAAGAATCTCAAGTTATCCAAAAAAAACCAATATCGAATGTAAGATTTTGAAATTATCTTCACAAATTTCAAAAATAAAAATAAAATATATTACATTTTTTCTCTATTATTAATAAATCATTTTTAGTCATTTTCTTTGGAGATGCACTGTGATATCCACCATTTTAGATCCAATGTGAATGCTTTGCGATGAGCGATATATGCACTTTCATTTTTTGTTTAGATTTAAATTAAATTTTATTCTATTTGATGGGAATAACCCGATCAGATGGCGGACCAAGAACAATATAAGAATCAAGAGAATATAATCTCGTAATAATATTTTTAATTGGGTATGTAATCAGAATGTTCTCCCCTACAATGACGGGTTCTTTCCCGTTTTATAGTACTTCTAATTTCTTAATTAAAAGTACACATAGTGGGAAGAATTATGGAGATCATGGGGTTGCGGTTCCCCTCCTTTCCGGTCTCGTTCTCTTCCCATTTCCCCCACAATTTGGGGTGTGGGCCACGTGTCCAGTTCCTTCTCTGGACTGGATCATCTCAATTCAGCCTATAATTGGGTCGTCCGCCTCATTATTCATATGCGCCTTAGTGGACTCGATCCGTTACACTCACCTGGACTTGTTCACTTTGCACGATTGTGGGCCTTTATTGGGCCTAGAGTCGGGTCCATCAGGCCCGATATCCATCACAAGCCCCCTAGTTTTCTGGCGACATGTCGCTAGAAAACTAATGATGAGCCGCCTTCGGTTTTCGTGTCGGATTAGAAACGTCGCACTCGAGTGCTTTGGGTCCCTCCTTACAACGGATATAACCCCTTCTCGACTCATCTTCTTCTTCCTTCGTTTCCGAATCTTAACCCGACCCGAATTCCGACTGTAATTGCCCCTAAATTCTCGTTTCTTTCTCCGAAATGGCCCCTTCCGCTGATCCCGCAACTTGGGTCCATGAATCCTCCATCATCAAAGAGGACGAACTTCGAGAGATCGCCGAATTTCTGGGCAAAGGCTTCCGGATCCACCATCCTGATGCTGTCGGGGGAATCCGTTTATCTCGTAATCCGGACCCCCAAAAGTATATGGTCATGCACTACCATTCGGTGGGGAACGGGTTCAGATTGCCCCTCCATGGTTTGGTTCGCGACATCTGCCAGACCTTTGAGTTTCCCCCTGGTTAACTGACCGCGAATGTGCACAAATATGTCGCGTCCTACATCTTGCGGTGCTGTGCCCTGGACAGAACCCCAACACTAGACGAATTCCTCGTCCTTTTCAGCATCGGTGGAGCTTTCCCTTTCTATAGTGTGTTACCTCACCCCCAATTTCCAGTTTTTGAGAAGGTTGAGGCCAAAATCGACAGGTGGGCCCGCCGCTACTTCGTCATTGAATTCCCGGCTCACAGCCCCCTAGATCTGCCGAGTATAGTACGCCACAGTTCTCTCTCCCGAACTCCGTTCGCCACCGCGGCCGAAGCGGAAAGAGCGTACAACGCCCTGAGAGAGGAAGGGGGACTGATTTCACATCATTCCCTTCAGGACGCCAGGTTGCACAAGAAGGCGGATTTCTACTACCCTCTGGGCCCTGACCCCTTCCCATTTGAAGGGGTATCTTCCCCGGAAGGTCAAAGGCTTCTCCTGTTGTGGAATCTCATCCAGCCGAAACTCCTCTAGGAACCAAGCCCAAGGTGATGCCACTGCCCTGGCAATTTGCAAACCAGCTGCCGCCCTGGATGTTGTTCCCATTTCTGCCATTCCTGGGCTAAGGAAGCCTACACCATCCCAAAAGAGGCCACAGGAAGGGGTAACTGATAACGACTTCCTTCCCAAAAAGAGTAGGGGTGATGGTACCCCTGCTTCACCCAGCCCTCTAACTGCTTCTTCTGGTACTCACAACGCCACCCATGTTGCCGCATCCGGAGGGCTGGAATTACCCAACCCAGATAGCTTGGATCACGAGGCAAATAAATCCCCTGACCAAGCCCCGCTCCAAAGACCAACGGAGCGACCCCAGTCTTCGGTGGAGAACACCTCCCCGCCAATTGCTGCTGCCTCCCAAGGTTTGAAGAAGGAGGTTGGGGGCAGAAGGAACCGGAAGCTTCCCCAGAGATGGGGAAAGAGGTTGGAGGACAGCAGGAACCGGAGGAACAGCGTTCCGCCGCAGTACCCCCGACCTTCAATCTCCCCATCCGGTGCAAATTCACGCCACAAACCTATCCTGTCTTCAAGGAAGGCTGGACAAATTTCTCTCGTGGTCTGAACTCCTTGAAGGCCTCCCACTCCACCATCCAGGTCAATCTGGAGAAGATGACGGGATTGGTGCAGGGGCCCACAATTTCCCAGGCACGCCCTGACCTGCTTGCCCTCAATGCCCTACACTCCAAGGAGCAGGTACTCTTCTCTTTCGAAAGTCTCTTCATTTCACTTTAATTATCCCTTTCTTGACTTCCCTCTCCCTTCTTCAGGCCCAACAATCACTCCTCACTCTGACTGAGGAGTACCTGGGCGGAGCATGGGGGAATTATCGGGCCATGGTGGTCCTGAAGGACAAGGAATTGGCCGCCAAGGCTATACAACAGAAGGTTGATTCCCTCGGGCAGCAAGTCCAGGCTCTACAAGAGGAGAATGCCAGGCTCAAAGCAGACGCCTCAGCGGAACTGATGGATGAAAGGTCCAGGGTCAAGTCCTTGCAAGAGCAGATAGCCACTTACCAAGGGAGTACCCACGACCTGGAAACACAGTTTGACAAACTCTGGGCACAAATCTCCAGTCTGGAGTCGAAAGTCTCGACCTTGGAAGGCAAAGAGGGGAGTCTGAAAGCCGAACTGGTTGAAAGGGAATCCCGGATCTCTGAGTTGGAGAATTCACTCCAGGGGGCCAAGCAAGAGGGTGCCCACTTTAGTGAGCTCATGTTGAAACACATGGGGTTGAAACGGGTTGCCCTCGAGAAGCTAAAGAAGGAGAGAAAGACCACCAATGAGTTCCGGTCGAAGGTGGGAGAACTGGAGAAGACTATGGCTTCCCATCAAGAAGAGGTGGCCGCCCTAACTGCCCGTGCCAAGGCCCTCTACGAAGAAGGGAAATTTGATATGCAATTCTGCATCTACAAGGCGATCCGGAGTGGTCTCCCGGATCATCGGTCCTTGGATGACTTCATATCCTATTACGATTTGCCTCTTCCTCTTCCTCCCCCAGACTCTCGTGCCAATCCGGGGCCTTGATTTTCTTTTTATCCAACAGTTGTTGTATTTTTACTTTGTAACATTTTATTTGTAGCAACTTGGTAACGCTTGTAGCATTTTGTCCTTTACCAATATCTCTTTTGTACTTACATCCCCATAGACTCCTTTCTTTGGGCTAACTGTTCTCCTTTTGGGATTTTTACCTTGCTTCGGGACTTAGGAAAATTTTTACCTGCTTTAAGACTTGGGCCTAAACCACTTTTGTTAGGTTCCCTCTCCTGCCGTGCTAAGTGAATGGCCCACCTTAATTACGCCGGGCCCAATTCACCTCAGCCCAATGATGAAACGGTGCAACCCTAGCTTTCCTCGGGAATCCGCAACTTTTTCCCAATCGGATAAGCGCTTTGACTCCGCGTCCCTTGCACTCCCTTTTGACGTCGCTCGCCTATTTAAGAAACTAGGCAGACGCTTTCATTATCACAACCACTTCTCAACATGGCTAATAATGCCAACAGAGTTGTCTTCATTGATCTGACTATCTCTGATTCTTCTTCTGATTCCTCCTCCTTGGCATTTCCTTCGCTTGGAGCCCCAGCACCTGAATTCCCTTCTGGGCCTTCTTCCGCTTCCGAACAATCGGTGACTTTTCCCCTGCTCGGGGGGGAGAACCATCCTCGTCTCCCCCAGCAAATATCAGGGGGTATTCTCCCGGATTCCGGCATGCTCCCTGACGGTACCAGGACGAAAGCCTCCTCTGGCCGTCCTGGTACATCCTGCTCCCAGAAGAGGCGCAATCCCCACTCAGAAGCTACCCGGTTGGTCTCCGATGTGAGGCCTTCCTCCCAAGGTTCTCCCTCTCCTCAGCAGTCATATGGACAGAGCCCTGAGGAGTGGGGGGATTATGACATGGGGGAAATAGGCGTCCGTCTACTCGGAGGGAAAGGGACGGAAGCTTCCAGGGTCCGCCTCCCCCTTTGGCGTAGGCGGAATGATGTCGTAACTCCTCCTCTCATGCCTCATCGTTCTCCTCATCCATCTTCATGGGAGTGACTCGAGGGCGTCCACGGGGAATGGCCTTCAATCCCACCCGTTGGTACCCTTTCGTTTTCCTTTTCTTTTGAAGGATGCATCAAGAGGATGATGGGCTCTCTCCACACCTCCCCACCCCGGCGTTCTTTCTGGTTCAGGCGGGGCAGCAAGAGTCAGCGGATTCGTTCCCCTTGCCACACTGTTCTTCCTGGATCCTTGAAATGTCGTTTCACCTTCATATTTTTTCGGTAGTAGGATAGAAGTATATCAGGGACAAAGTTCATTGTTGTAACCCAAAAGAATGTAGTTTTCTATTTGAGTTACTTAATGAAAACTTTTATCTCTCGTTTTTTAGCGTCTTACTGCTAGCTCAGGGATAAGGTTCATTGTTGTAACCCAAAAGAATGTAATTCTCTTTATGAGTTATCTAATGGAAACCTTTTTCTCCTGCCATTTATTATAATTATACCTTGTGTGTCGTCGTCTGCATGAAGTAGAAGTCTATATTTGTTTGACCCTCTCCATTCAAGGATGACGTTCTTCCCTAGAGTACGGATGGACCCGCCTGAATTGGCCCATGCACTTAAATGGCGGAGCCCTAGTCAAACCTTGGGAACCCTCAACTGCTTCATCCGCCAATCACCAAGTCTTCTGCATCTTTTAACCATATTCGTTGCTTCCCAACGATCCCTTCCCCTTTTCTATAAATGCGGAAAGATGGTATTTTGCTGGCTCATTGCCTTCTGATCCATTCAGTATGACAGACAGAGCCCAGGGTAAGGTTTTCATTGACCTGACCCTTTCCGGAACTTCTTCATCTTCAGATGATGATCTTCCTGTCTCTCCCGCTCAGGCAATGACATGGCTGGGCTGAGTCCCGACGAATTCTCAAGACTCTATCCGACACCCCGTCTTACTGCGCCTTCACCTCCTAGTCCACCCAGGCTTCCGTCCGGGGGCATAGATTGGGACTCTATGACCCTTCAAGACTTCGCCTTGTACCAGAGAATGCGCAAGGCTAGACTTGGGCGTTCTTTTCAGCCCGCAGAGGCAGAACTTTCGCGTGAAAGCCAGATAGCTTCTCCAACCCTGCCAAGTCTCCCAGTGACGGTTCACAATCTGCACCACTTACATCCCGACCTGGAGCGTGGGAAGTCTATGACATGGGCGAGGCTGAGGATTCCGCCGTGTGTCCTTCGTCAGAGAGAAGGAGCCCATGGAGAGGGCCACCACCTCCTTCCAGTTGACTGCATGGGTGCAATTGGCCCTCCTTCAGCGCCTTCACCTCCTGCAGATCAGTTTACTTTTTCTTGTTTTATCTGAAGAGACATTCACTTGTTTGGTCCGGAGGTTTCCCGCATCCTAAGCCAAGGAATGTCTTTTGATCCCAAATCAGGAATAGTCGTTGTAATCCAAAGATATAACCTTCGAATTAGCAATCGATCAACTTCCTTATTTTCTTTGTTTCGTTTATCTCATTGGGAACCATTATTGTGAACCAAAGATGTAGCCTTTGGCCCTCCATTATAGCCTTTTAGGTTTATTTCGTTGCACATCATCAAATGCAAGTACAAATGCTCTTACCTTATATAGAATCTCATCTCCCGGGGTCTGGATGTGTCGTGGGAGCTTACCTCATCTGCCCCTGACCTCCATTCCTCCAGATTAAGGCATAATCTTATCTACCTTAGATCAGTTGAGCGCCAACCCTCGAAGTTTGTTTGCTCGGTTGACCCATGCTGGTGGAATACTAAGCTTCAGCCCTCGAAGTCTGCTTGCTGTTCTTCCTGAATTCCGGGTTGTAAAGGCCCTCGAAGTCCGATCCCAACCCTTCCTTCATATTTTACGGAGGCATAAACTTATCTACCTCCCCTATCTTTAGCAGGTGGAATAAACTTTTCTACCTCCCTGTAATGTGGGTCTATCTTGCCCGGGGTGTTCTCCCCCCCCCGCCCCCTTTTTTTTGAGAAATCTACAGAACAATGGAATTGCAAAGACACTTGGCTTTAAAGGAAAGAAATTCCCTATTGTTGAAACAAACGAGAATGCCTTAAACAATAAAATAGAACACTTTACAAAACAATTTTACTGATAACATTTTACCAAGTGCTCTACATTCCACGTCCTATCTATTTCTTTTCCCTTTGGAGTCATCAACTTGTAGGTACCTGGGCGAACAACGGCCTTGACGGTATAAGGTCCTTCATACTTCTTGGCCAACTTCCCGCCCTTAGTTGGTTGACTCTTTTCTCGCTTCCTTAGGATGTAATCCCCCACCTGGAACGCCCTCGGTTTCACCCTACTATCGAAGTAAGATTTCACCTGGCGACGGTAATTCTCTGCCTGGACTCGTGCTTCATCCCTTCGTTCTTCTAAGAAGTTCAGCTCGATGGCCTGATTTTGTTCGTTCACTTCCGGGTCATATGCCATTTCCCTCCTAGTTGGGATCACCGTCTCTGCCGTTGCCCGGGCTTCAAACCCATATGCCAGGCCAAAAGGAGTGTCACCCGTGGCCCTTCTTGGAGTGGTCCTATACGTCCATAATATTCTGGGTAGTTCATCCACCCATTTGCTTCCTTCTGACAGCAACTTCTTTTTATTCCGCTTATGATCGTCCTGTTGACGTTCTCCACCTGACCATTAACCTGGGGATAGGCTACAGACAGTTCGTATGTTGAATTCCCCAGGTTTTGAGGAAGTCTTAGAACTCCGCCTCTTAAAACTGGGTTCCGTTGTCGGATATGATCTGCTTGGGGACCCCAAACCTACAAAGTATATTGGTTCCCACGAAGTCGATCATTTGTCTCCCTGTGATCCCAGCAAGTGGTTCAGCCTCTACCCATTTGGTGAAATAGTTTATGGCCACCACTATCCACCTTGCCTATCCAATTCCTTTCGGTTGGGCACCCACGATATCGATCCCCCACCTGGAGAAAGGGATAACCGAACTGACGGACGTGTAGTTTGTGGCCGGCCTCCCGGGTATATTCTGAAACTGTTGGCAAGTTGGGCACTTGCACACGTATTCCTCACAATCCTTCCTCATTGTTGGCCAGAAATATCCCTGGATTATCGCCCTTCTGGATAAGCGCTTTTGCCTCTGCCGCCCTAAGACAGCGGAGTAAAACACCGTTGTACGATCGCTTATAAAGGGCTTCATCCCACACTTTGTAGGTGAGTGCTCTCATTCGCAGCAACCGGGATTTTTGGGGATTTTCCGGGGCTACTCCGTCCTCAATGTATCTAGCCAACCTGTCTAACCACTCCGGGGGGTCGGCTGATACCCAGAGCACTTCATCCCTGTTGAGACTGGGGGTTGCCAACTCCTCCACAGTCGCCAACTTGCTGATATACTCCGGCGATTCAGCGCTAAGCTTGGACAAGACATCAGCTTCTGCGTTGTACGCTCTGGGTATGTGCTCTAGCTTATACTCGAATCTTCCCAACATTTCCAAGGACAAGTCTCGATATTTCTTCATCCTCTCTTCCTTTGCTTCGAACTCCCCACTGATTTGTCCCACAACCAAGCGGGAGTCGCTGTATACCTGGACCCTGGACACCCCCAGCTTGCTGAGGATCTTCAGTCCATTAATTAGGGCCTCATATTCAGCTTCATTGTTGGACACGCGGAACTGAAATTTGATAGCGTAATAAATCCGGAAGCTCTCCGGGGTGATCAAGACAATACCTGCCCCACAGGATCGGGACCCAGAAGATCCGTCAATGCTCATTACCCACAAGTTATCTTCTACCCGGGTTTCAACCCGGGCTCTTGTCATCTCCCTACTCAACTTGAAAGTCGGCGAGTGCCTGCCCTTTGATCGATGGACGCGGCCTGAACTCCACCTTGTACTGACTGATGAAGACCGCCCACTTGGTCATTCGGGCAGATGCCGATGGGCTTCGAGTAAGTGACGCCAAAGGCTCATTGGTGAGTACCACTATTCGGTGAGCTTGATAGTACGGGGTTAATCTCTTCGCCGTCCAGAAGACCGCTAACATGGCTTTCTCTGAGCGGGAATACCTTAACTCCGCATCTCTCAAGGTCTTACTGACATAGTAGACCGGATGCTGGGCCCCGTTCTCTTCTCTTACAATCACAGTACTGATGGCGCAGTCTGCGATTGCTAAGTATAACGTCAGGACATCCCCGGGCTCCGGCTTGGATAAAATCGGAGGACTTGCCAGATATCTCTTCAATTCCTCATATGCCTCTTGACATTCTTGCGTCCACTCAAAGGTCGCCCTCTTCTTGATTACAGTAAAGAACGGGTGCGCCTTCTCCGCCAGCTTCGAGAGGAAACGATTCAAGGCCGCCAATCTCCCCGTCAACCGCTGGACTTCCTTTGCCGTCTTCGGTGGCTCCATCTCCATGATGGCTCTTACCTTTTCCGGGTTAGCCTCAATCCCTCTCCGGCTGACCATGTGCCCCAGGAATTTTCCACCCTGAACAGCAAAAGTACATTTCTTCGGGTTCAATCTTAAATTTACCTTTGTCATGATTTCAAAGACCTCCTTAAGGTCCTGGACATGGTCTCGGGCCTCTTTGGACTTGACAATCATGTAATCAACATAAGCTTCCATGGTTCGCCCCAAGACGGTTTTGAACACCTGAGAAACCATCCGGGTGTATGTCGCCCCGGAATTTCTTAGTCCAAATGCCATCACCAAGTAACAGTACAGCCCCTCAGGGGTCATAAAACTTGTCTTCTCAACATCAGCCGGGTGCATCCGAATCTGATGGTAGCCACTGAAAGCATCCATGAAACTCATTAATTCTGATCCAACAGTCTCATCCACCATCTGGTCAATATCGGGGAGAGGAAACGGATCCATCGGGCATGCTTTGTTCAAATCTGTGTAGTCGACGCACATTCTCCACGAAGGAGGCTTAGGCGCCAAGACCACATTTTCCAACCAATCCGGGTAATGCACCTCCCGGATGTGTCTAATGCTCTGCAAGGTTGTCACCTCCTTCTTCACGAAGTCCCTCCTTTCTTGCGACAGATGCCTCCGCTTCTACTTCACTGGTTTAGCATCCTGCGAAACATTGAGACGATGGACTGCAATCTTGTGATCCAAACCCGGCATATCAGCTGGACTCCATGCAAAGACCTTCCTGAATCTCCTCAGAACCGAGATTACTCGCGATCTGAGTTCAGCCCCCAGGCCTTTCCCGATTCTATCCAACCTTCCCAGCATGCCTGGCTCCACGTCTACCTCCTCTATGTCGCTTGCAACTTCAACTCTGGGAAGTCTCTCTTCGGCCTTTAAGAGCTGTGCGGTCACCTCTCCAACCTGGGTGTCGTATTTGATAGGCTGTTTGGTTGCCTTCAAATACCAGGCCCGGGACACCCTCTAGGATCCCCTGGCTATTCCAATCCCGCGGGGGGTTGGGAACTTTATGCACAAGTGACGGGGTGAGATGACACACTCCAAATCTTCTAATCCGGGTCTCCCTAGAATGACATTGGTGTTGGAGATTATTCCCACCACAACGAACTCCATGTCCAACTTCCGGGTGGCCTTTGTATCTCCTACCTCAACCGGCAGGGTTACCACCCCCTCCGGTTCAATAGAGTCACCTGTGAACCCGGTCAGAGGAGTCTTGATGGGCAATAACTCGTCTCTCGTCAAACCAAAAGCCTTGTAAGTATCCATATACATGATGTTAACGGAACTCCTCGTATCCACCAAAGTCTTGTGGATCAGCAAGTCTATTATATCAATTGTAATTACCAAAGCGTCCCTATGGGGGACCCCCGTTTCTGGCAGATCAGCATTAGAAAATAGAATTGGCTCAGTTTTCAGCTTCTTACGTTCCGGTTGGGCAGGGGCCGCCACCTTATTGACCATTGCCCCACTAGCCCACTTTTTTCGACTTATGGCCGAATCTCCACCAATGTTCCCTCTAATGATGTAGTTACACCCGTGGTGCGTCTTCTGTCGGTGTGGCGCGGGCTCTGAGTCTTCCTCTTCATCTTCGAGTCTGATGTGGCGTTTCTCCCGGGCCTCGGCCACCTGCCCTTCTTTCCGTTTCCCGCTCTGAGCATTCCCGGGATTTCCCCTGTCCCTATCTTGAACGAACTTCTTCAGGTGGCATCGGCGGATAAGCCTGGCCATCTCATTCTTCAAGGTATAACAGTCTTCCGTATTGTGATCATTCTCGTGATGGTAAGCACACCATTTCCCAGTGTCCTCCACGTTGCAGACCTTCTGGGAATAGGATGGGCCATGACCTCAGCCACTGTTAATGAAAACACCGGATTAGCAGACTTGTGCTTCTCCGAGGTCCCAGGGTTTGTGTCCTTTGGGCCATCCGGGAAGCCCTGCTTCTTGTTCTTGAAAGACTTCTTGTTTCCCACCTTTTTCTTCTTCCTTAGGAGCCTTCTCTTTCTTTTCCTCCTTCCTTTCTTCCAAGGTCACATACCTTCCGGCCCGTACCATTGCTTCCTCGAAGGTATCCGAGGATGAGTTGTGAGATCGGTATGAAGGAGGCCATCTTGCAGCCCCGCCGTGAACATGGCTAACCTGGATTTATCGTCGGTTCCTTCAACCTCCCTGGATTCCTTTCTCCACCTAACGAGGAAGTTCTTCAAGGACTCCCCGTGCTTCTACCGCACCAAGGCCAAGTGGGTAAAATGCTTCTTGGGACGACAGTTCCCTGTAAAATGTTCTAGGAACCGCAATCCCAATTCATCCCAAGTCCGGATCCATCCGGCTGGGATGTGATTCACCTAGTTCGCAACCTTGCTATCAACCGTCTGCAAGAAACATCGGCACATCAGCGCGTCACTAGCATCAACGGCGATCATCACCTGGACGTAGCTATTTATGTGTTCTTGGGGATCCGATTCCCCATCATAACGCTTGACAAACGACATTTTGAATCCCTGAGGATAGGGTTCTGCAAAGATCTCCGGGGCAAGCGGGGTATTTGTCCGGGTAGTGAACACTCGTCCCCTGTTTATCTTCCTCTGCATCTCCTGGATCTGTTGCCTCAGATCCTGGAACTCGCCAGCTTCCGGTACTTGCGGCCCCAGACGCTGCGGTGCTGGGACCCTGGCTTGGCTTTGAACTTCCTCCTCGTCCAAGACCACTAATGACCGCATTGGCGCTTGGCTCCCACCGCGGCCGGTTCGCTGCCGAGGCTCACGGTTAGAGGATGCCACTTGGCTGGTCTGGGGTCGTACCCAACCCTAGGGCGCCTTGTCCAAATTCTTCCCCAGCCTCTCACTAACGTGAGCCCTCTGGTGAGATATCCTTTCAAAAACTGTTCCCCGCGGGTTTCCATTTCCGTTGCCTATGACTTGGCTCACGGCCCTGGTCCGATCTCCATTCGCCCTATTATTCCGGGCCATCTCCTCCGCCTGGAGCCTAGCGATAGCCTGTCTCTCCCTCTCGATCTCCTCCGGATCATGAAGCTCCTGGAGGATGGGAGAACTGGCAGTATGCAGGACCTGGCGGGGCTGCCCGGTAGGGACATTCCGGGTACCAGATGGGCCAGGGAGAGCCTGATCTAAGCGTTCCATAATGTTGGCCATCATGCTAGCCACATTATTCAACGCCGTCTCCAGCCCATTGACTAGAACAATCATGCCTTGTTCAGGCTGGTCACTCCTCACCGTCGACTGGGCGGAAGCAGCGGTGCTACGTCTAGTCCTTCATCCGGCCATAATCTCACAACTTCGTCTCACAGTATATATCTCTCAATGGAAGCACCAATGATGGGAATAACCCGATCAGATGGCGGACCAAGAACAATATAAGAATCAAGAGAATATAATCTCGTAATAATATTTCTAATTGGGTATGTAATCAGAATGTTCTCCCCTACAATGACGGGTTCTTTCCCCTTTTATAGTACTTCTAATTTCTTAATTAAAATTACACATAGTGGGAAGAATTATGGAGATCATGGGGTTGCGGTTCCCCTCCTTTCCGGTCTCGTTCTCTTCCCATTTCCCCACAATTTGGGGTGTGGGCCACGTGTCCAGTTCCTTCTCTGGACTGGATCATCTCAATTCAGCCTATAATTGGGCCGTCCACCTCATTATTCATATGCGCCTTAGTGGGCCCGATCCGTTACACTCACCTGGTGTTGTTCACTTTGCACGATTGTGGGCCTTTATTGGGCCTAGAGTCGGGTCCATCAGGCCCGATATCCATCACTATTAATTTATGGATTAGTGAATAATGACTTCTAAGGGACTCTAAATGTGACGAGAGAACTTAATAATGTATTGTATTTATAACAATTATAATAGAAATTCGAGAACTAGTTTGCTTATGCAGGATTCGAACCCACATCTGTATTACATACCGCTCTACCATTTGAGCTAACAAGCAATATTTTTTGTTTAGAGAGACTCTCATCTTACACTTACACATTGAATACGCATTTTAATCCTTTAAAATTTGCATTATTCAACCCATATACATATATAACACATAACATTTTAAATGCATCATCAATTTCAAAAACTTTCACCTTGATTTGCAGAATGGAGAGTAACAAATGCTTTTTATCCTTTAACATTTTTACAATGCATTGTCTTCTCATGTAAATGCATCATGTTGACTTTAATAATGCACAATAACATAAACTATGTATACTTTGTTCATTAAACTTTAACAAATTTTAACTAGAATTAAAAGTCATGCCATTTCTTTTTAGCAAATGAAAATTTGCAATAAAATCAAGCTTCGGTTGAAATTTTACCACACATTTATACACATGCATAAAATTCACTTATTCAGTGTACTCATTACTGGCTATAACCAATAACACACTCAATAAATAAAAAATAAGCAGAATCAGTGCAAAATCCCTGACAGTGCAAAATCAAACATAAGCAGAATGCAGAGTAACAAATGCTTTTCTGAAATTTTGTTTTCAGAAAAAATATATCTGAAAAGAAATGAGAGTTATAGATTACAACTCTAAATTAGTGAGTACAATTATATTTCAAAAAAATAAGAAAAATGAAATATTACACCACAAAATTATACCCAAATAAATAACAATATGTATCTAAAGTGTGATGTTCTAATTAGTTCTAAAATAGTTCTAACATTGTAGATAATGCACTCTAAACTGAATTTCATGTACTATTACGACTACACGATGCCCAAATACTATATTTGAAAAGAACCACAAATTTTTGAAATTATGCACGATTGAACCAAGAAACATGTTTACATACATATGTAATTTGTTGGTCTCCTCATGCTTTCTGATTTATTAATCTTTTTCTCTAGTTTTAGACAGTGTTGTTTACTTTTTCCTTGCACCGAACAACAAAGTTAAGGCAAGGCAAAATAAATAATAATCGAACAACAGAGATTGAAAATACTAGACTAAATTGAAGGGATGAACAAATGAATATGGAAATTAACCCAATTTATGTCAAAACAAATAAGTGAATATCAAAGATTGAACATACAAGACTAAATTGAACAGAAAAAGAAATGAATTGAAAAATCAAACCCGTCTAACTTCAATCAGATATGGTTTCTCACGAAAAACAGAGAAAGAATTCTTGTACAGAGAAGAAGACTTACATGTTGTTTTTATATATGAACCCTATAAGAAAAATGATCAGATTAGAAGCCAATTTTGATTGAACAAGTTATTGAAGGAAAAGGGCAAGCTAGGAGAAAGGCCATCTTGTGCAGGTTTATCCCTTAGCCCAGTCCACCCCTCATCTTGTAGACAAAAAAAACTGAAGCGGCAAAAGCCGAACGAAGAAGGGACCGGAAGTCGGAAGAGGCAAAGACTCCGAAGAGCCGACTGCCGAAGAAAGGACGCCACCTCCACTGCCGGACGCCGACCTCCAGGTATTCCATATTTCCATAACTTTCCAATTTTGTAATTTTTATTTCTTAAACCTTAATTTTCTTTCATTGTTTCATTTTTTAGATTTAAAATCTAGGGCTAATTATTAGTTTTTAATTTGAAATCTTTTCTAATTTCATTCTTTGAAATAGAATGAATTAATGGTTCTATATGTTATTTATTTGATTTGGATGAATTAATTTTAATTTGTTATTTATGATATATTTATATAAAAAAACTGAAAATCAAAAAAAAATTAAAACTGATAAATTGACAAATAGATATGAATTTATGGTTTATAAAAAAATTAAAACTGAAAAAGAAAAAAACAATTAAAAAATTGACGAATTGATATTAATTTATGATATATTTATTTATTTGCTTGCTTTTTCGGTTTTTCATACTTGATTTTACTAAGTAGTAGAATTTATGAATTTAGATTTTATTTCAGAAATAATTCAATAGCTATGGCTCCTAAGCAATTATCTGGTAGTCAAAACAGAAAAAAGAGAAAACAAGATGAAGAAATGAGAAAGTCTCAAGCTGGAGCTCTATATAAGTTTATGAAACCTGTTGCTAAAGACGAAGAAGTAAAAGTAAAAGATTGAAGAGCAAGAGCATCTACAAATAGACCAAGAACATGTTGAAGACAATGAACATGTAGAAGAAGAGGAAGAAAATTTAGAAGAGGCAAATTAACATCTTGAGCCTATGGTTAGTGTTATGCATACTGTTGTCGATATATTTGATCCAAAAATAAGGGAAGGACTTAATTCTTAAGAGATTAATCTTTTTGGGGAGAAAGGTCCTAAAAGAGATCATAGTATTCACTATAGTCCATTCGACAAAGATGGACAAAATGGTATACACTTTTTTGCAGCATTATATACAAAAACTTTACCAAATATGGAGAAGTGTGATAGAGAATGGCTTGTATATTCGAAAGAAGTAGACATGATATTTTGTTTCTGTTGTAAATTGTATAGAACAGGAATTCCAAAAGGAAAATTGGATGGTGAAGGTTATGCAGATTCGCACCATGCTCATAGAAGAGTCAAAGAACACGAACTTTAAATGGATCATCTCTCCAATGTGAATAGATGGCTTGATATGCGTAAAAGATTAAATCTGAATGAAACATTTGATAAAGTTCAGCACGAGCAATTCAAGAAAAAAAGAGATTACTAGAAACAAGTCATTTTCAGAATCATAGCATTAGTGAAGTTTTGGTTAAACATAATTTAGCATTTTGTGGATCAAAAGAAAGATTGTATCAAAAGGTAACGAGATAAAAATGTTGTACTTTTAAATGTTCCACTTTCATAAAATGTCATGTTTCTTAATTATGTTTACTTCTAAACATGTAACGGAAATTTCTTGGGTCTCATTGAGATGATACAAGAGTTTGATCCAAATATTCGAGAGCATGTGCGTTGAATCACAAATGATGAACTTCATGTGCATTATCTCGGGCACAAGATCAAGAATGAACTCATACTTGATTTAGCCCATGTTAGAAAAATGCTTTGAATCTGTATTCTAGACGTATTAGGATTACGACTAGGAATAGGATTAGGATTATCTTTTCTATTCTCATCTTTATATATGTAGTAGGACTAGGATTACCCATATCCCCTTCCCTATATATATATATATATATATATATATATATATATATATATATATATATATATATATATATATATATATATATATATATATATATATCTTGTATTTGTACTCCTCAACTTATGGTAGAGAAAATCTGTAATCTGGTGAGAAAAAATATTGATCAATAATAGTTTTTCTCTTCTATCCGTGGAGGTTACTAACAGGTTGTTAGTAAACTACGTTAAATATCTATCTTCTCGTGATTATCGATTGTTCGTGTTTATATTTTCTCGCGTCTGTCATAACAAACTGGTATCGGAGCTAGATTGTTCAATACGAGAACACGAATTGCGAGAAAAAATGTCAGCTAGGGTTCTTAAAGAACTGTGTTTGTTCAGCCCTGTTAGAAGACCATCGTCGAAGGATTGTGCTTAGCCCGATATTCGATCGCGCAAGAATAAGTTGTTGCCTTTCCGATCTTGGATCTCAAGCGTAGCAAGGAGAGGTAGAGCCGCGCTGGTTGCTCACCGCTTTCCGTGGCTGATCAGATCGTCGCCGTCGTCCTCAGATCGACGCCGCTTGTTCGAAGAGAATTCAGTCGCTGTCGCCGCAGATTTCCGCTATGCAGTTGGTGCGCCGCTGCCACTGGTCCGTCTCGGAGCCGTCATCAGCCGCGCAGCCCAGGTCCTGCCGACGCATCGCCGTTGTCGCCATTCAGATCGTTGTGCCGCCACTGCCGTCCAGATCACAAGTCCGCCGCTGGTCCGTCTAGATTTTCCGTCAGAAGAGCCACCGATTGCTCCCCGTGCTGCCACCGTCTGGTATTTCCGAGCAAAGCTTCAGGAGGTGCCGCCAATTGAAACTCCATCGTTGAAAAAAAGGGGTTATACGGCTGATTGAAAGAAAAAATGGTTTTTTGTCTTTGCCTAGACCAAGAGAAAGAGAAGAAAAGGCCCACTCAACCCTCATGTTGTGTCTGTCTGACGATGTCATCATCGAAGTCGCGGATCAAGAGACCGATGCGGCCCTCTGGATGAAGTTATAGAGTTTATACATGACGAAGTCTTTAACCAATAAGTTGCTTATGAAGCAACGTCTGTTTCGTCTACGCATGCAGGAAAGTACACCCCTTCGGGATCATCTGGAAAAGTTGAGTAAAATTTTGCTAGATCTTCGAAACATTGATGTTAAAGTAGATGATGAGGATGCGGCTTTAATTCTGTTAGTTTCTTTTCCCGAGTCGTATGAAAATTTAGTTGAATCTTTTATGGCTGGTAAAGAAACTTTGTCTCTAGAAGATGTTCGATCTGCTCTCCACATGAGAGAAGATCGCCTACAGGCAACTAATTCAGGAATAGAAAATCAGGCATCAAGACTATCTGTTACGGGTAAGGGACAGAAGACCTTTGGAAAGAAGAAGCCAAACTTTAAAGGTTCAAAAGGTCCTAAGCCCGGTGACATTTGCAACTACTGTAAAGAACCAGGGCATTGGAAGTTTGATTGTCCTAAGTAGAAGATGAAGAAAATGGATAAGATTGAGGAGGCTCACGATTATGCAACTATGGCAGAAGCTGATGACACAAACTTTGAAGAAGATCTGGTTCTAGTTGTCAATAACCAAACACATTGTAAGGATGTGTGGGTTCTTGACTCTGGGGCATCGTATCATATTAGTCCATATAGGGAGTTGTTTTCAACTTATGAGCAGATAGACGAGGGTGAAGTTTCCATGGCCAACGGAGTTGTCTGCAAGGTAGTTTGAATAGGCTCCATCAAGTTGAGGACTCATGTTGGTACGTTTTGCACCTTGAGCGATGTCAGGCATGTTCCACAGATGACGAAGAATCTGATATCCTTTACTTGTCTTGACAGTAAGGGTTTCAGTTTCGAAGGTAAAGGTGGGGTTATAAGTATCTACAAGGATTCGAAGGTGGTTCTGAAAGGTATTAAACATGGTACCTTATATCTTCTACAAGGATCTGTCATTGTTGCATCATTTGAGATTCATAGAGGTGATGAATGTCTTGATGTGAAGGTGGAGGTTCCATCTGCACGGATTGAAACTGTTGATCACCTAGAAGAATCATTTGTTTCTACACCTCAATGAGGCGATTTGCGCCCCGGAAGGGGGCGATCTGGGCCCGTATGGGGCAATCTGGGCTCATGAAGGGCAATCAGGGCTTCAGGAGGAGTCATCTGGACACTAGGTTGGTGTCATCTTTTTCTGTTTAGGTTCCATGAAGAGTCATCTGGACTCAAGGTGGAGTTTGCATCTGTTGGTGTTTTAGCTTGAGTTATCTGTCCCCATGAGTGAGGGAAATCTGTTTTGGTGTGTCACAACACTTCTAAACTCAAGTGAAACAATCGGTTCCTATCTTTTAGTGACATTTGTGTCCTTGGTTGGACTTCTGGTACCTATGGTACATCTGGTCACTACATAAAGGAAATCTGGAACATCTGTTGTCTTTTGAGGAGATTCAAGTCAAGGTGGAGATTTGTTAGAAAATGCCTTGAATATGTATTCTAGACGTATTAGGATTACGACTTGGAATAGGATTAGGATTATCTTTCCTATTCTCATCTTTATATATGTAGTAGGATTAGGATTACCCATATCCCCTTCCCTATATATATAACTTGTATTTGTACTCCTCAACTTATGGTAGAGAAAATCTGTAATCTGGTGAGAAAATATTGATCAATAATAGTTTTTCTCTTCTGGCCGTGGAGGTTACTAATAGGTTGTTAGTAAATCACGTTAAATCTCTGTCTTCTCGTGATTATCGATTGTTCGTGTTTATACTTTCTTGCGTCTGTCATAACAGCCCAATAGATTAAGAAGGAAATCATCAAGAAAATAAAGGAAGTCAAGAACTACTCAATCATACTTGATTAAACCCTTGATACAAGTCACCAAGAAGTATTTAAACTTCTCAGGTAATTCTATTATTGTGGAAGAGTCCTTCTTAAGCTTCTTGAATGTTAATGATACCACCGGAAAAGGACTATTTGATGTCACAATTGAGGAGTTAAAGTCTCTTGATCTTGAAATTGATGATATTCGTGGTCAAGGTTATGATAATGGGGCAAATATGAAAGAAAAACACCAAGGAGTTCAAAAGAGATTTTTGGATGTCAATCCTAGAGCATTTTACACTCCTTGTGGTTGTCATTATCTTAATCTTAGTGAAGAAAAAGATAGTGATAATGCAATTGTTCATACAACAAAGTCACTAGCAGAAAATCTTAGTGAATTTGAGTTTTTGGTATCAATTGTTATTTGGTATCAAATATTAAACCAGGTAAATGTAGTGAGCAAGAAGTTACAATCAAAGGATATGCATCTAGATATTGCTATTAAAGAGATAAATGGATTGATTGACTACTTCAAGGATTATAGAGAAACTGGTTATTCAAAAGCAATTGATGAAGCAAAGGAGATAGCTACTGAAATGGATACACCTCCGATGTTTCCAGAAAAGCGTTTGATTCGAAGTAAAAAAGAGATGATGAGAGTTCAAGTAGCGAAGAAGTTTCATTTAAAACTGGAGAGAATTTCAGGGTCAATTTCTTCTCATATGTTGTGGATAAAGCCATATCTTCTCTTGAGATGAGATTTGAACAATTCAAAGACTATGAGAGATTATTTGGGTTTTTGTTTCCACATAAGTTGAGTTGAATTGAAGAAAAAGAGCTTAAGTTATTTTCTCATCAACTTGAAAATGCACTTAAGTTCGAAGAAAGATCGAATATTGATGCTGAAGTGCTTTACATGGAGTTGAAATCATTCAACACATTACAAACCAGTGAATTTAGCAACCCCATAGATGTTTTGAAGAATTTAAAAGAACTTCGTTATCACCAGAATGCCTTCATTGCATATAGAATTTTGTTAATTGTTCTAGAAACAATGGCATCTGCAGAGAGAAGTTTTTTCAAATTGAAGCTCCTGAAATCTTACTTACGGTCTTCAATGTCCCAAGAAAGACTTAGCGGATTGGCAGAAATAGCTATTGAGAATGAAATCTTAGAGAGCATAACTTATAAAGATGTGACCAACCAATTTGCTCTCAAGAATGCAAGAACTTCTCGAATCCTCGCCTAGCTTTTACGGTATGTAATTATAATACAATACTTGTGTCGTTTATTTTTTTCTTCTAATAATATTGCGTTAATTATAAATTAAATATAATTAGTTCACATATGTGAATTTGTTAGACCATTAAGGATAAGACTTTTAGGGCTTTTTTTCGGTTTCGGCCCAGGCCGATGAATCCTCAAGACTGGACCTGCTCCGAAGAGCCGACTGCCGAAGAAAGGACGCCGCCTCCACCGCCGGACGCCGACCTCCACGGCTCCACCATCCAGGTATTCCATATTCAATTATTTATAGCTTTCCAATTTTATAATTTTTATTTCTTAAATCTTAACTTTCTTTCATTGTTTCATTTTTGGATTTAAAATCTAGGGTTAATTATTTGTTTTTAATTTGAAATCTTTTCTAATTTCATTCTTTGAAATCGAATGAATTAATGGTTTTATATGTTATTTATTTGATTTGGATGAATTGATTTTAATTTATTATTTATGATATATTTATATAAAAAAACTGAAAACCGAAAAAAAATTATAAACCAATAAATTGACAAATTGATTTGAATTTATGATTTATAAAAAAATTAAAACTAAAAATGAAAAAAAGAATTAAAAAAACTAACGAATTGATATTAATTTATGATATATTTATTTATTTGCTTCCTTTTTCAGTTTTTCATACTTGATTTTACTAAGTTGTAGAATTTATGAATTTCGATTTTATTTTAGAAATAATTCAATAGCTATGGCTCCTAAACAATTATCCGGTGATCAAAAAAGAAAAAAGAGAAAACGAGATGAAGAAATGAGAAAGTCTCAAGCAGGAGCTCTATATAAGTTTATGAAACCTGTTGCTAAACACGAAGAAGTAGAAGTAAAAGACATAGAAGTGAAAGAACATCTACAAATAGAGCAAGAACATGTTGAAGAGGATGAACATGTAGAAGAAGAGGAAGAAAATTTAGAAGAGGCAAATTAACATCTTGAGCCTATGGTTAGTGTTGTCCATACTTTTTTCGATATATTTGATCCAAGAAGATGGGAAGGACTTAATTCTTAAGAGATTAAACTTTTGGTGGAGAAAGGTCCAAAAGAGATCATAGTATTTACTATGGTCCATACGACAAAGATGGACAAAATGGTAGACACTTTTTTGCAGCATTATATACAAAAACTTTACCAAATATAGAGAAGTGTGATAGAGAATGGCTTGTATATTCGAAAGAAGTAGACAAGAAATTTGTTTCTGCTGTAAACTATTTAGAACAGGAATTCCGAAAGGAAAATTGGATGGTGAAGGCTATGCAGATTGGCACCATGCTCATATAAGAGTCAAAAAACACGAACTTTCAATGGATGAAACAATTGATAAATTTCGGCACGAGCAATTCAAGAAGGAAAGAGTTTACTGGAAACAAGTCATTTTCAGAATCATAGCATTAGTGAAGTTTTTGGCTAAACATAATTTAGCATTCCGTGGCTCAAAAGAAAGATTGTATCAAAAAGGTAACGAGATAAAAATGTTTTACTTTTAAATGTGTTAGAATAAAGGCCCAACGCTAGAGGGGGGGTGAATAGCGTTTAAAACAAAATCGCAGGAAATTAAAACGAGAGCGTTAAAGGAAAGAGTGTAAAGAAGGAGCACACCGGATTTTATCCTGGTTCACCACAACGTGTGGCTAATCCAGCCCCCCGAGAGACTCTCTCGAGCTACACTAACTCCGTTAAGCTTAAGGGTGCTTAACAAACCGATACAACTTGAGAACCCGAGTCACACGAGCCTCAACACCTTTGCTCGGAGATACCGCACTCCAAGACTTCTCACGAAGGAACAAGAAACTTCCTTCGAGTTTACAACAAGGGAACAAACTCCCTTAAAGTGTATGAAAACACTTAAACACTCAGGAATGAAACTCTCACAAAGAGTAGATATGAGTGAACTAGTAAACGCTCAAGAACACAACAATTTCTTCAAGAATTGGCTCTCAAATAGCTAAGAAAAATAGGAATGATTATGCAATGAAGGAGTATTGAAATGTTGAAGAATTGTGT